ATGGCAGTCTCTATGTCCTGATTTGGAGTTTCCTTGCTTTTATTAGTTTATTTCCTGTTTTATTTCTGTTGTTGATTTTACTGATGCTTTGTGACAAATTCCCCCTTTCTACTTTCCAGTGCTATTTAACCAAAACCAGGTTTTTAGTAAGTCCTTTGGGTAGGTAGCGGTTGAAATTGTTCCTCCCTGTTTTTATCCTTTTGAAAATATCCATCCTGAGGGCTCCCTTCCTACCTGGAGAAGTCTCCATCACAATATTCTTTTGATTGCATGGACTGTCTTGGTGAAGACAGTTGGATACCTTCATATTTGCAAGGATGGAGAAAGAGCTTGAACATGTTTCATCTCCTGTGGTAGTAAAAAAAAAAATTTGGGTATGGTGGTCAGCTCAGAATCTATTAATTAGCATATGCTTCTGTCATTGATGATGGTACACAGTGGTCTGCTTCAGCTTTATGAACACAGAGCATCCAAATTATAATATTAGTATCTGAATTAAATTGATAGGCTTACTGAAGTAAGGAAAAGAGACTTTGAACTCCTATTGACCTCCTGCAGTTTTTCTTTCAACATCATGCTCAAATCTGTTTTTCCACTTTATTTTTAACTTTGGGAATAAACAAAAATACAAATGATGCTTTTGTGGAGCTTAATGAAAAGAAAATGTTTGAGGACTAAAACCATGAAGAATTTAAAAAACATATATATATGAGAAAGACCAGAATAACCCTGGAATTTTTTCTTGGATTAATCAAAAACAAAAACCAAAAATGTTCAGTCCTTTGCATCTTGATGTTCTCCCTGGTTCTGAAAACATCTCAAAAAATATTCTTTATGTCTTATGATACTCTGTTGCATACACCTTTGAAACAATTGGAAATCCACACCTGTTGTGTTCCTACCCTTGCTTTTCTTTCTTAGTAGACACCTGTGTCCTCTCTGGCCAAGGCTATGTGCTAGTAGCTGGAGATAAAATGGGCAAGTTACAGTCTATGCCCAAAAGGAGATTAACATTCTAGTGTAGGGAGATTGATAAATGAATGAGCAATCAGAATATACTTTAGGGGCACATAACAGAGTCTGTGATTAGAGAGAGTTTCCCAGAAATAAGATGCAAACTGAGATTTCAAAGGTCTGTAGGAGTACTTTTAACTAGAAGAAAAGGGGGAAGAACAGTCTAGGTCCAAGGTCAGGATTCTTGAGCAGTATTAGTTATTTCTTTGATTTATTGGCTACCTTTGAACACTGAACAATATTCTGTCATTTAGGATACTACCTTTTGCAGGTAGCAGAATACCTAGGGAAGTAGCTTCAATAATAGGAAATTTATTGTTATATACTATGAAATCTGGTGATAACACTATTTGGGATTGCCTCACCATCTAGGACCCTGATGTTTTCCATATTCCCCCTTTGCTGTCTTCAAATTATTGCCATTCTCTCCATTTTTCCCTTTCCTTTTGCAGTTCTCAGATTATTGGTATTATCTTCTCTCCTCTCAGGGTGCTTGCTGTATCTCTAAGAATCATACCTTCAGAGGACAATGACCAAAGTAGGAAAGGCAGTGTTTTTTTCCTGTGTCCTTCAGGCAATAAACTCTTTTCAACCTTTGCCAACAGATTTCCTTTTATTTCTCATTGCTGAGAGTCCTGTCACATGCTCTTATATTAACTAGTCACTGACAAGGGGAAGGGATTTACCATGGTTTGTTTACATGCTAATAAGTATTTAATTTTTGCAGTTTGATGGGAAGGTGAAGTATCAGAATGAATTGGGATACTTCTAATAGGGAGAAGGCAATAGCTGTTGTGTAGCCTCAGCTAAGAGGGACAGTCTCATCTTGAAATAGAAGTTTGTCTCTTTTAAACTCTTTAGCTTTGTCAGGCTTTCGTATTGCGTTAACTTTTTCTAATTGTGTTTTCTTTGGGAGTCAGGCCCCACTGTATCAGTAACAAGCAATATAATTTTGATTAAGACATTTCACTTTTCTTGGCCTCAGTTTCCTCAACTGTATAATGAAACCTGTGTATTCCAACCCTAAGATCTCTTTCAACTCTTAATGTGTTGGGGGCACATGCTTTTCTTGCTCTAACAAGGGACAGACCGATGTACTGGAGAGGATACTTTCTTGCTGTGTGAATTGGCAAGTTACTTCATCTTCTTGGGTTTCAGATTCTTCATTTGTAAAATGGTAATAATATCTAATTTATAAGGTACATAGAATTTAAATGATACCATAATACTTATAATATTATCCTCCCCCCTTGACATGCAGATTTGAGCTGATATAGGCTCTATAATCCTGTGGTGGTTCAGTATAGAATGATAAACATTTGTTTAATTGAATTCCTCACATACCTTTCATAAGTGAAAATTTCTTCATAGGCATATGAAATCTAGATGGAAGAAGGATATAGTACCATTTTATGATATATAGAGTATGCATAAGATATGGATGCTAGGATAAAAATTGTACTTTTTGCAAAAACCTGTTTTTTTGGGAGGAGCGGATTCAAAATCACTCCATACACCAGGACTTATTTGAGTCAAAATTCAGGCTATAAAAAGCTATTGTTAATTTCTAAGCATTTCTTCTTGTTTACTTTTTATTAAGTATTGGAATATTCTTGGAATTATCTCAAATAACTAAACCAGTGGTGCAATTTATTCCATAGATGTTATTGTTTAACTGTTATATTTGGATGTGTCAGAAGCATACGACTTTGTTTGAAAGATCCTGTTTTTAATAAATAGAAACTTAAATATTAAAATGATTTATATATAATTTAATAATTAGCTGTAACTTTTTGGCTAACAGGTTTTATAGAATATAGTTTTTAGATTTCTACACTTGATCTTAGCCAAAAGGTTTTTAGATTTCTTTTAACAATCACTTTTACTTCACTTTATCACATTCAAGTTTTAAGGACTGTGGGAATGTGCCATCACTAGATGGCAGTCTTTCTCTACTTTCAGACCTTTGTTTAGCAGGGGAAAACTAATTTTAATAGAAGTGGTGGGATATGGTCAGTTTTACGAGACACACTTGGGAGGTTGAGTTGTCAGGATTTATTAATGGATTAGATGGAGAGTAGGATGGGAAGAGATAGATTAGAAGTGATTCTTGGATATTTAGCTTGGACAACTAGATAGTGCCAATAGCTGTATGGGTAGGTTGTGGAGAAATTTGTTGAGAAATGAGTTTGAGAGTGGAGATAGGTTGATAATAAATGATTTTGTTTTCCTGTGTTAAATTTGAGATGGCTTTAAAAATCCAATTTGATTGGTTAAGTAGTAGCTGGAGATTTGAGTCTAGCATGCAGAGAAGTGCTCTGAATTGTACGTATAGATTAGGAAGTTAGCACTTAGTAGATGGTATTTTAAAGCCATGAGATTGATTGCTTGGTGAGAGAGCACAGATAGAGAAAATAAATGATTTTATGAATATTTAGAAAGGAAATAGAGGAGGAGCTGGGAAGGGATGTCAAGAAGACATGTCAGTGAAAGGTTAAAAATTATGTTAATATGATATCTTTGAAGTCTACTCAATAAAGTGTTTAAAAATGGAGAGACTATCAAACTAGCAAATGCTGTTGTTAAGTGGAATACAACAAATACCTCTTGTCAAGTAAGGAATTGAAGTGGTAACGAAATTGAAAGGAGTCCCCTCCCTCCACCTCCATAGGGGAACAGAGAAATGAGGTAGTTGGAGAGAGATGTATGTGTAGTTAAAGATATGTTTTTAAAGGTCATTTTAACATATACATGAGAATGAACTAGTAGAGAGGGAGAAATATTGTAATTCAGAGGAGGGAAAAAAGGGAATGATTATAGGAGGAAAGTTCTTGAAACAACTAGAACTGTATCTAAGAGCTTGGAACACTTCTTCCATTGTTTCAGGAGGCTGGACAGAGTAAGAGGTACACATCTTAGTAGGTTGGTAGGTTTTCATAAGGGAAGAAATATTTTAATGTGTCTTTTTTCTATGAGGTACATAGTAAGGTCAAGTAGCTGTGAGTGGGGGAGTAAACATTTGAGGAGAGGAGAAAGTGAGGTTAGATATTTTGGAGAATGCAAAGTATTTTTGGGGGGATGGGTAACAGTGATACTGGTTGAGCATCCCGAATCTAAAAATCTATTATCTGAAATGCTCCAAAATCCAAAACTTTTTGAGTGCCCACATGACAAAATTTACAAGTGGAAAATTCCTGACTTAATGATAAGTTGCAGTCACAATGCTTATGCACTAAAAAATATTATATAAACTTGCCTTTGGGCTATGTGTATAAGATGTATATGAAACATTTATGAATTTCACATTTAGATTTGAGTCTCATCCCCAAAATATCTTATTATGTATTTACAAATATTCTAAAATCTGAAAAAATTCAAAATTTGAAACATTTCTCACCTCCCCCCACCCTGCATCAGAGATCGAACTCAGGACCTTGTGATTGAGAGGCAGGCGTGGCACCACTGAGCTAAATCCCTGACCCAATGTTTCTCATTCTTACGCATTTTAGATATGAACTACTCAACCTGTAGTAGAATTCTCTAGTGGTATTGAATGCCTAATGTAGATTTTTAGCTATAGAGCTATACTGAGTGTAACCACCCCAACTATGAAATTTTCTCAGCAATTTTTAACCTTTTTGGTATAGTCATGGAATAACTGGATAGTTGGATTACCAAAATTGAGTTTGTCTTGACTAGTTAAATTAAGAAAGACAGAGACGGGGCATTATAATTCACTCCTTTCATTTTATGAAGAGAATTCTGTGATGAGTACTGTCAAATATTTTTAAGTGAATGAGAAAGCAAAAATTTTGATTTTCCTAGAAAGTACTCTTTAGCATCAAAATAATGTTGATACAATTGGATTACTTTGTGGTTTATGTACCCTAAAAATCTAATTTTCAAATAAAATTGCTTCTGGATTTGTATTTTTATTTCCACTTAACAGTAAATGTGGTGTAATTTTCATGGCTTTTTTTTAAAAGGTCTGTCTATGATGGTGAGGAACATGGACGATTCATGGAGAAGCTTGAAACTCGCATCCGCAATCATGACCGAGAAATAGAGAAAATGTGCAACTTTCATTACCAGGGCTTTGTGGACTCTATTACTGAACTGCTAAAAGTGAGAGGAGAAGCCCAGAAACTCAAAGTAAGGACACTCTACAAGATACTTGTTTCTTTTCTGAGGTTCTGATTAGTATTAAAAGAATATGAACTATAATACAGGTCACAAATTTATATTTGAGATTTTTAAGTAGTGAGAAGAGATTTATACTGAAACCTACATAATTGAGTTCATGACTTTTTAGCTGAAAAGGATATCATTTTAAGTTAGAGTTTCATTGGGATAACTACACTTGAGATAGAACAAGTGATCAGTAACCATTTCTTTCAAACAGAAACTCAGTGTGATTCTTCTTGTCATCTCCTTCCTTGCTGGATAAAAGCTATCTCTGAAGAATGACAGAGTTTCAGGGCATTGCTTTAAAATTATTTGCAGCATGGAATGTAGACCAAGAAAAAAAAAGATCTGTTGTAGTTGTGGAACACCAAAGCATGAAAGTTCTTTCTTGATGTTACAGATTCATGTTTAGGAAGGAGGCTGGTCAAATTGGTCTGGTCCCTGTTGGAGCAAATTCAGTTATCTTGGATAACTGACTTTGCTTATTAATCTTAAATCTGACTACTCTGCTATACTTACTCTATTATATTAAATAACTTATATTTATATTTTTTAGTGTTTTATGGAAATACTTATATAATCTATAAGTAATTAACAATTTTATTTTCTTTTTCTAATCCTTGTGCTTTTAATTTTTTTCTTGTTGAAATTTGAATTAAAACTCTAAAAGGATTTTCTTTTTGTTTTTGGCATCTTTAGAATTCATTCAGCATATCCACAGAGGCATTGTTTTCATGCTGTCACACACAGACACAAACACAGCTATAGCACAATATCCATGTTTAGCCCAAGTGCATTCCTTCTGAGGCTCATTTATATGTCTTCATATGCCACAGCCTATCATTTAAATAATGGATATTTTCAATGCCAATTCCTTTGTTGACTTTCTCAATGTCTTCTGCAGACATCTTCATGACTGCAATACATAAAGCATGTTGTTTTCCTTCTGCCATGATTGCAACAATGGTATCTACTGCAGCAGGATAAAGCGTAGCTTCTGGTGAAGTTAAGCCAGGACACATGACATTTGCTCCACTGAGTACAAATTTGATGACTCCTTAATCAACCTGATGGTGTGGCAGGATAAAAGGATATTTGTGAAGTAACCTTAGAGTTGGATAAAAAGGCCCTTCTCTTTGTCTAAAAAATAGTAATTCTCCATTTCTATATGTTTATGGTATTGGACTTTTTTGATAGGATCTTTCTTAGGCATGATTTGATTAAGCCATGGTTCAATACCTGGAAATTGCTCTATCAATTGATTCGTAATAACTGAGGTTTTCAACTAGATGCAGTTGGACACATTTTCTTTTTCATCAGATTTCTTGAACATGATCCAAAGTGAAGGGGGCGATGATAGGGAAGGGCCTGGAATGAGCAAGAAATTGAATTAGCAAAGGTCCAGCAGATCCCCTTACACGATGAAGGCCAGCACTGACTGTCCTAAAAGGATTTTCTTAGGTATATGGTTAATTTGATAGTAAGTGTACATTTCGTCTAAAAGAAGATATTGGTAGGAAAAAGAAACAACTTTATTGAGGGGTAAAGTGGGCTATCACATATTAAATTATATTTTAAATCTACAGTATTTTAAAAGCTCATTTGACTGCAAAACAACCTAAATGAACGTGAAACTATTAGATTTCTTAACTTATTTAAGGCGAATATTTATCTTTTGTTATAGAAACCCCCCTCCCCCACTGGCCTGGCCCCAGGGATTGAACTCAGGGCCTTTTGCTTCCAAGGCAGGCGCAGCACCACTGAGCTAAATCCCCAGTTAGAAATTTTAATATTTGTTTATAAGGTGCTGGGGGATATTACTGTATAAAATAAACCTTATATTATCTTTATAAAATCTTCAAAATTCTGAAGTCTAAAACACATTGTGTCCTACGGTTTTATAAAGAAGTTTATAGACCTATACAACAGCATCCATCCATTTTAAGAAATAGAATATTGCTAACACAATTAAATTTCTCTTTTGTACTTCTCTTAGTTTCTTCTTCCATTTAGAGGTAACAGGTCTTTTAAAATTTGTTGTTAATATGCTGTTTGTCCTTATCTAGCTATCTCAGTTTTCCATCCTCATCTTGGGCTGTTCTTTTCTATGCCTCTTGGATACTTGTATCCTAAACTTCTCCCACAGTTTCTTAGGACCTTAGTCCATGACAATCTACAGGATATTGAAGTGGCCATGTGGTGGAATACCTCCTTGGCCATGTAGTACTGAATATTGCCCATAATGCTCGTAAGTTGATGATATCACTTGCTGAGTGGTACTCATCCACTTTTCCTCTTATTCTCTCCCCTTCAAATTGCTTGAAGTTGCAGATACCTTCAGATTGGTCAGGATGTCTATGAAAGAACATCTGAGCTGGATGCTACCAGTTCAGGATTCTTGCTGCTTCAGGCTCTACCCAGCTGCTCTGAGGCTGAGAGGATTAATGTCTAGCTGTACACCTGATAGATTGTGCTCTAGGGAGATCCATTTGATCTAGGTTAGGAACCAATAAAAGGTAGTTTCCTGAGCTGTAGGAAATAGTTTGTAAAATAGTGTAGGAAATGGAAAAGGATAAGTATTATCTATTTCCAATACTATTTTAATATCACAATGAAAAGAAATTATATTCTTTAGGATGTCCATTATCGCTTTTGATTTACAGCATGCATACATTATATATATGTACATACATACTATGTTTATGTTTTCTAAATCAAAAGAAGTACCATCCCCAGACTATTGTCAGTATAGTTTCTTTTCATTGTAATGTATTGAAATAGTTTTTGAATAGTATTTAAATAATTATTTTCTTTCTAACCAGAAACATTGATTAGGCTCTTATGTATATATTTTACTTTATTTATTTTTTTTTGAGACAAGGTCCCCCTATGTAGTTCAGATAGGTCTTGAACTCATGGCAATCTTCCTGCTTCAGCCTCCTGTGTGCTATGATTGCAGGCATATACCACCATGCTTGCCTTCTATGGATATATTTTAGACCATAGTTTACATGCAATCAACTTAATGGACTTTGATATAGTGGACTTTTAACAAACACTGAAATTAAGCAGAATAGGAAATATCGTGTATTACATGTAGTAAGAACAAAAATTGTTCTTGAGAATTGTATGTATGTGTGTACTGGATTGCAGTGTAAAATATATTTTTTACTATGAGTTTCTGAGTTAAAAAAAAGTGAGAAATGGTGTCTTCATAAGGTAAAGAAGGTGACTTTAATAGGAACAATTATGCTGACTCTAGTAGCATTTATGGAGGTTTGAAGTTTAGAAGATTATCTTCAGTATGGGATTAAAATAAAAATGTAGTTTACTGTTGAACGACTGTGAAGCTCCATTACACTTTTATTCTGCTGGCTCGTCAAGATATTTGAGGGCAGCTGTTATTCAGGTATGGTGTGTAGTGTGTATGGTTTAAATATAGTGTCTTTGAATAAGTATTTTCCCCCTCTCTGTGCTAAAAAATTTCTTCATCTGTTTTTCATGTATGGGAGCTTTGGCTCCTTCCCCAAACTTATTCACATCTTTGTGCTTTAGCTTGTCAGTGGCCTTTGTAAAACATGATATCTAAATATAATTCTCATGGTGTGGTCTTACCACTTACTACTTTACTTACTGTAGATTAGGTATCAGCAGATGCTGTCTTGTAGGCCAAATCCACCTTATCTTCTGTGTTTGTAAATAAAGTTTTATTAGAACACAGCCATGCCCACTCATTTACATTTTTTAACTCTACAGCAGCAGAGTTGAATAGTTACAGCAGAGCCTATGAGGCCTACAAAGCCTAGAATACTACTGTCTAACCCTTTATACAAACAGTCTGTGGATCCCTGCTCTAGACAGTGCTTCTATTAATGCTTTGAATCGGCATTTTGGGCAGCTACCTCAAACTCTTAATTCATACTGAGCTCATAGTCCAATAAAACAACAAAGTGTTTCACATGTGGTGCTATTAAGTAATAAAGAGGTAATTTGAGTGTTTCTGGCCTCTTTTTCTACTAGTTTCTAAAGGTTTTCTGGAGGAGTCAGATTTCATTTTGTCTTTGAAAGCAGAGGTACATGTGGTAATCTGCTCTGAAAATATATTTTAGTTATTGTGTATAGTTTGCAGAAAAAATGTCAAGAAATTGGTTTCCTGAAAAACTAGATTCTTCAGATGATCTTGAATATAAGAGTGTCATGTTAAGTAAGTTTGGAAAATATTTCATATGATCTGTCTTTCTTGGGTATTTATAGTGTGTGTGTGTGTGTGTGTGTGTGTGTGTGTGTGTGTATGGTGGGTGGGTACACTATGTTAATAACATTAACATTTCTCCATCTTCTAAGCGACATCATAGGAAATAATGGGTTAGGGGAATGTAGTCTAAATATAATGAGCAGTAGTTATTGGTTAAAGACTAGATAGCTTCTACTAAAGAAAGTTTTAGAAATTAATGTTCATGTTTTTATAATGTCTGAGATGATGAAGAAATTACTATTTTATATACTTATTATTTTTTAACGTCAGTAGAGGCATCATAAGTATATTCTACTCAGAAGGCTGAGGCAAGAGGATCACAAATTTGACCCCACCCTGGGCAACTTAGTGAGATCCTGTCTTACAACAATAGCAACAACAACAACAACACCACCACGACCACCACAACCACCACCACCACCACCAAAAAACATACAAAAAAACCCATAAAAGGGCTGGAGATGTAGCTCTGTGCAGAGGCCTTACATTCAAGTCCCATTTATCAAAAAAGTAGACACTAGTAAAGTTGTGTGCCTGTTCCTTTAAATTATGAGCTTTTTAAGGCTTATTCACATATTTTTGATGATCAGATGGAGAGATTAATGAGAATATGGAAGGAAGTATTAGGAGAATTAAGATAAAATGCTTTCTAAAGTTAGAATGATAGGGCCGGGGATTTAGCTCAGTGGTTTCGCTGCCTGCTGCGCAAGCGCAAGGTCCTGAGTGCGATATCCATACCAAAAAAAAAAAAAATTAGAATGATAAAAAAATAGTAAAAATTTGATCTGAGTTAAAAAGTTGAATTTATATCTAGCCTTTTCAAGAATACATTGGCGAAGTGAGAGATGTCTATGATATAATTTGTTCTTTCTAGATATTGTAGAGATGGTAAGGTCCGTTGTAGGTTATGTTTTCTATTTTATTTCTCTTTTCTTTTCCTCCAAAGTTGAAGTGTGTGATCTTTAGTCATTGTAGTATCTTGGTTTGGAATGTTCCAAGGTAAACATATCTTTCAGTAAATGTTTCTTTTCATTATTCAAAAGATCAGGCAAATGTCCAGTAGAAAAGCGTATATAGTTTAAATTCAAGAGAATGTCACTGGGCCAACATGTGGTGGAATAGTAAAAGTAGCTAGCTACCTTTCATATTAATTTTTGATCTTTATCCAACTATTGTCTAAATGTTTTTATGAGTTTAAACTATCTTCTTTCCACAGAATCAAGTGACAGATACTAATAGAAAACTACAACAAGAAGGAAAGGAAGTAAGTCCAGTTTATCTTTTGAAAAAATATTTTCTGTTTCATGCCATTGTCTGTTGATGACTGTTCTTCATTTAGGGGCTTACAAGACTATATAAGCATTCTCCACACTGATTTCCATAGTGGTTGTATTAGTTTACATTCCTACCAATAATCCACTGTAGAAGAGTTCTTTTTTCCCCACATCTTCACCAGTATTTATTATTAGATTTTTTTGATGATAGCCATTCTTTCTGGGTAAGGTGGTATCTCAGTGTAGTTTTAATTTGCATTTCTCTTATGGCCAGTGATGTTGAACATTGTTTCATGTATTTATTTGCCATTTGTATTTCTTCTTCTGAGAACTGTCTTTTCATTTTAGTTGCTCATTTTTTTTTAATTGGGTCCTTTATTTTGGGGGATGTCTTAATTTTTTGGAGTTCTTTATGTATTCTAGATGTTGCTTTATTTTTTTCATAGAAGTAAAACAATGGTTTTTTATATTTTCGTTATTAATATCTGCATGCATTACATTAAAAAAAGACTAAACAGTATATTGGAAGTACTTGGGTATTACTGTTGCTTTTCCTAATGTTTATAAAATTAAATGAATATAGTTATTAGAGAGTTTAATGAGAGAGGATACAACCTTTCTTAGCTGTGTTTTAAATCATTGGTTGAAAATATGGCCAATGCTGTTCTCTGCCTGGAAATGTTCATTCCCTAATATTCATTTACTTATTTCTTCAAATGTTAACTTTTCAGTAAGACCTGTCCCAAACCTTACTTGTAGTTGTAGCCTTACTCTTATTGCCCCCATTCTTTTTACCTCTTCCCAGCTTATTTTTTTCCATTGTACCTATCATACTTTTGATATATCTTTTTACTTATATATTTGTTGTCCGTCTCCTGCCATTACAAATTTGTTCTATGTGGTCAGAAAGTTTTGTTTCTTCTATTCATTGCTGAATCCTTTTCATCTGCTTAAATAACAACTGGCACAAAGTGGGACTCAATAAACATTTGTTTATAAAATGAATCATGGGTGGGGATGTAGCTCAGTGGTGGAATGCTTGCCTGGCTTGCGGGAGAAACGGGGTTCAATTCCCAGTTCCAGGGGGGATAAAAAGAATCATTGATTCTGTTAATGGGTATACTCACTGTTTAAACCTTTACAGTTAGCAATATTATTTTATTTACTCAATCCTTATGGCAGACTAATGACAATGTCAGAGCAGCTATTATCATTGTTTTATTGATGAAGAAATTACAACAGATGATTTGGTAAGTTTATAAAATAATTGGTAAGACTGGGATTAAAACCCAAGTTTTCTAACTCATAGTCCATTACTGGTTTCTGTATCATACACTTTCCTTATCTCCTAGTACTTATTTAATGTTTAATTTTAATAACCTTTAAGGTTTGCTTTTGATTGTTTGATCAGTGACATAATTAGGGGAATTCTCTTTTATTCTTTTTTGCATGATATCTAAGGAAATAACATTTTTAGGTATGGGTAATAGGATCAATGCTGCAAGTGGATAAGTAAATTATTTTTTGTCTCTCATATTCTAATTGTTCAGAGTACAGTTTCTACTAGTATATTGTGGGATGACTTCAGGTAGAAGCCTTTAGAAGCTATGAGAAGAAAAATGGATTACTCTTTACTATGCTGGATCTCATAGAGAAGCCACATCTTCTAGGTGTGTGGTTTATTTGTTGAAATAGAAACTTAACTGAAGATCATTTTCATGCTTATTTGAAGCTGTATAGGAAGGAGTGTTTTCTTTCAGGTTAGTACTGGTGAAAAAAATACAGAATTTTCTCAGAAGATTGATGAAACCATAAATCATGGAGTCTGAATAGGGTTTGGAGAAAATATGCAAAATACTTTCTTTTCTCCTGGATAGCCCCTATAGTTTAGGATTATAGTGTAGGATTTCATTTTATGTAGTCCATTCTAGCATACTCTGTATCTTGGGGGGAAAGTGGGAAATTGTGCAGGAATGTTTTCCTGGTTGGGAAAGGCAGTTCCTTAGTCTGCTTGGCAGTTCTTATTATGAAACTGTCTGGAATTTGCTGATAAATTGAACACAGTGTGGAAAAATGTGACTGAAAGCTTTTTATTTAAAGCTATTGGCATAATTCAGTTTTTTCCCCCCTCTTACAAAGCTGGTGATAGCAATGGAAGAGCTGAAGCAGTGTCGATTACAACAAAGAAATATTTCTGCCACTGTTGATAAATTAATGCTGTGTCTTCCAGGTAAGGAACTGGAAATGAAGTAGGATTCTTGATGCAGTTCTTCTAGCTTTAATTGTTCCTTTGCTTTCTCTAAATAATGTTTGTGTGTTTTTTCCCCTCTCTTTGAAGTCCTAGAGATGTACAGCAAATTGAGGGACCAAATGAAAACTAAAAGGTAAGAATTTTTATTGAAAAGTTATTGTCTAAATTTGCTTTTAGTAGTCTAAATTTGTTTTTAGATTACTTTTTTTGGAGGCGAGAGTGGAATTCTGGGGATTAAATCTAGGGCCTGGAGCATACTAGGTAAGTACTTCACCACTGAGCCACATCCTCAGCCCTAGAATACTTTTAAGGTTCATATTTGGTATTACTTTTTAAAGCATAATTAAATTTATAACATCTTCTTTAGCCTTATGTGTACTTAATTATTGATTTATCCTAGAGTTGTGTACTACTGGTCATGTATTATGTTTAATAAAAAATAATACTCATAGTTGATTTTTAGAAGTCCTAGTCTGTTAGGGGGAAAAGCATATAATTATTTTAGTGATAATTTATCGCTTCTCAGCCTTTTGGCTAAGATCAAGTGTATTTTAGTGATAATTTGAAAAATATGTTATGGTTTAGTATTGTCATAGAAAAAATAGTCACTGCTTCTGGTGTAGGAGTGTATTAGGCTTCTCTAGCAAAACAACCAGTAGGATATTGTGCTTGTGTGTGTGCATGCACACGAATGTGTTTGCTCGTCTGTCTGTTTGGGGAAATATTTATTTTATGTGATTGGCTTACACAATTATGGAGGTTAGTAAGTCCAGAATGTGCAGGGGAGGCAGTATTACAGCTTGAGTCTGAAGGCAGTCTTCTGGTAGAATTCAGGAGTTCAGCCACTTTTTACTCAGGTCTTCAACTGTGATTGAACAAGGGCCACCCACATTATGGAGAATAGTCTTCTGAACTCATGGTGTATTGATTTAATCTTGTCCAACAATTAGCTTCACAGAAACTTGTACAAAAATGTTTTACCAAATATCTGAGTACTGTAGCCTACTCAAGTTGACACATAAAAGTAACCATCACAAAGGAATGGTCAGTGTCAAATTCAGAGGATTCTTCTCCTGTGTAGTGTTTCTTCTAGTTTTATTCCAGAGGAGACTCTATATTGACTTTCACTTTTATTCCCAGACTATAGTAAGCATCCTTTCTTTTTCTGCCCTGGGCATTCTGCAGTATGTGGCCATGTGGAAGAGTAGTAAGAACAGAATACATCTTCCTACAATGCTAGTTTTACTGAGTTTTGAGGGAAAAGGTATGCAGCTAAAATGTATTTAATATTGAATTGTCATGTTGAAGTGTTATTGAACATTTTAATATTAAAATGTATTTAAAATTGAAATAACTGAAAGAAGTATTGTAGATAAAATGTCTGAATTTTTAAGAATTTTGAAGCTAATGCATGAGGCATCACATTTTTTTGTTTCTTTGAATTGTCTGTCAGACTTTCTTCTTCTCTCTGGGAGAATATGCTTACATATTCTTACATATGGTAGAATACTAAGGGATATAATGTTTAATGAATTATGAATGTAATAACCTTTTAGTAAAGTTCTTAAATTACAGAGAAAAGCATGTGTGTACCTACTTGTCTGAATTACAGTGAGATTAATGACTTTCCAGTTGTGATCCATATATTTGTAAACACACATATGTATAAATATATATGTGTGTGAACATATATACATATATATGTAAACATATATAGCCTAAATACATATGAACAGATAACACACAGATATTTCATACATATATACTAGGGATTGAACCTAGGAGTGCTCTGCCTTTTTTATTTTGAGACAGAATCTTGCTAAGTTGCCCAGGTTAGCCTTAAAGTTGTAGTCCTCCTGCCTCATCCTCCTAGCTTGGATTACAGGTATGTACCACTATGTCTGGTTATCATATTTCAAAAAATTACCAATAAAATTTGTGTCCTCTTCCTTGGTCTATACTTTTCCTTACTTGCCTGAGGAAACTGCTATCATAAATTTTGTGACTGTCCTTGTCTGTGTTTTAAATGTCTATAAATCACATACTATCTTATTGTTATGTAGATGATTCTCAGTTCTGTCTTTTGAGATCCATTTATTCACTCAACAAAAATGAATTATGTTCTAGTTTATTTTAGGTGTTACTCTTGATGCTGAGGATATAGTAATGAGCAAGACATAAAAAATATCTGACTTTATGGGACTTTCATATTAATGGAGAGCTTTTCTTTATATGTATAGATTTAGTACACTCATTTTAATCACTGTGTGGTTGTTCACTATGTGAATAATCCATACTTTCTCTCCCAGGTCCAGTGCTTATTTATCATAAGTGCTATTTACCAGTATTTTTAGCTCAGCCTTTTTCTGGTACCAGGTAGTATTATATTTCTTGGACTCCCTTTGTGTAGGTTGGTTTCTGTGACTGTTTTTGACTGATAAGATGTGAGTAGAGGTAATGTATGTCACTTTTGAGCTTAGCATTTTATTTCCAATGCAAGTCCTTTCAGAATTCTTTATTTTCCCCTGGTTATGATAAATGGCAATATTTAAGATAGCTGAGTCCTTGAGTACCTTTACTGAGAGCTTCCCTGCCAACTTATTAAGTTTTAGACTGTTATTTTAAGGTCATTGAGACTTTTGGGGTTGTTACTATAGGATAAATATCCCGACTGGTACTAGGAGGGGCATTTGGTATGATTCCAGTTGTTTACTGTACAGACAATGGTGCAATAAATATTTTTGGAAAAAAAATCCTTGTTCATGTCTCTTTGGACTCACATTTAAAGTGTCTTGATAGTGTTCCTCAAATGCTGCTGTGTGGTGTATGGATCACATGGGATTTGTTGAATATAAATTCTAGCTGAGCAGATCTGGGGTTGCTCCTGAGGTTCTGCATTTTTTACAAGCCACAGGCCATGCAGATTCTATTGGTTCAGGGTTCATACCTAGAAGACAATCAGTTGAATCAAAGAAAGGCTGTGAGGTCTTCCATCTTTAGATATTGTTTTCCAAAGTGGTTTAACCATGTATATCACTACTAGCATTTTATGTGAGGTCCTATTATTTCATCTCTTGGTAATATCTTGCTTTTTTTTTTTGGTACCCGGGATCAAACTTGGGACCTTGTGCTTGCGAGGTAGGCACCAGAACCACTGAGCTAAATCCCTGGCCCATCTTGGTAATATCTTTATTGCCAATTTTTTTTTGTTTTTGCCAGTGTGATGATTATAAAATGATAGATCACAGATACTTTTTTTATTTCTTTGGTTATAGTACTATAATCAAAATGGTTTTGGACATTGAAGTTTTATTTGATATACTTTGTATATTTTTCTGTTATTTTTTTATTCATAGGGATTATTTATTTTATATGCTTTTTTCTGTCCATATGCTACAAACATAGTCTTCCTACCTATAGCTTATTTATTAGCTTTGTAGAGTTAGTATTTTTTGGTGTATAGCAGTTTTGATATAGT